AACAAAATGTGGCCATTCCTCCGCATTCCTGACCAACTTTACTCGGGCCTTTGCTAGTTCGCCCTAAGTCGTTTCCAAATCAAACCCATAATCACATACTTTCCTCCTAAGGTTGTCTATAAGTTTCTCATCCTTTTCATTTCTAGCAGGGTTCTCAGCTGCTATTTTCATCTTCTGGATTTGGGCTTGGAAGGCGTCATTTTCTTTGGCTAACATTTTCTTTTCACCCTCATCCGCAGCGGCTTGCAAACCACTCTCAAATTGAAGATCTCTGACTTGCTTTTCCAACTTGCTTATGGTGGCCCTATACTCATTTTCTTTGGTCAACCAATCCCATTGTTTCTGTGATGCTTCAACAAATTATTGGAGGTGGGGCCTTTTGGCTAGTCTTCAAAACTCAACACTTCTTTTATATCAAGCAAGGTAACCGGATGAGACTTCACCCCCGGATAAATCATGCATTCAGGTGTTTGCCGTCAGATATTGGAACACTTCAGATCTGGCGAACCACTACTTCATGAAATTGGCCATCAGAGCGGATCTCGACTGCATGAATGCTAAGGTCTTCGTCCTTGGGGGTTATTTTACATCTTCCTAGTTGTCTCAAAACCCAGTATGGGGCATAAGGTTGGATAATTCTGAGACCCATTAGGAGGAAGTGAGGACCGGTGGCAGGCATGTATATAATCTCATTAACAAGAAGCCAACCCAACTTCCACTCTATCTTATCTGCAGTTATGAAGCGAAGGCAGGATATTTAATCTACGAACCCTTCTGGCGTCTTGAACCCATCGACCCTTGTATCAAACTCCTCTATGCAGCTTTTCCCTGTCGACCCATAGTTCATGTACCGAGGACGATGATATAGATGCTCAATCATCCACTTTTGTAGCAACAAATTGCAACCTTCGAAAAATCTACTCCGTCTTTGCAAGCTATGAGAGCTCGGAATATTTCAGACAATATCATAGGTCCAAGGGTGCTCTTGGCACTGACAATTAAAGTATTGACGACTCTGGCTACCCGTAGATCAATATTCCCATCCCTCTTGGGAAACACTAGAAGACCCAAGAATGCCACCATAAAAGCGAAACATCTATGCTCTTTCCATTTTGATCGGTTCCCCTTACTACAGATTCTGCTTTCCGGGTTTTCAAATCCTCCGATATGTCCGTACCGCTGGTATATGAAGTATAGAGTGGAAAACCTACCCTTCAAATCTGCATACTCGACCCCTCTGCTTATTTTTAACAAATCCAAAAACTTTTGCGGGGTGACGGCCCTTCGAGCGACCAGGTATTTATGTCTTAGACCCTCAGTACTCCCAGCATAACCAGCTATCTCTCCAAAGTAGGTGTGAGTTCGAAGTCCGAAAAATGCAGAACGTTGTGAGATGGATCCTAAAATGTCACCAACGCTTTTATTATATCTGCCCTAGGCTTGATCTTTAGTAATTCGGTGACCACCCCCAAATAATGGTTGACCATGTCTCGTCCTTGCCCACCCTAAATCTTTCCACCACATGTGTAGTTCCAACGGAATTTTGGTCATGACCTTCATTGGTAAATTTTGACTCGTGCTCATTCTGCACATTTAGATTAAGGTGATTGGTTTAAAGAAAAAGTGAATCTCATTTGAAAAACTCATAAAAGGGTTTATTTTGCAAAAAATCAGATAAAGCAGGGCTACTTTTGCGAATACAGCTCTTCAGCACTTCGACATGGATGTTTTTAGGGTTGTGTTCGCTAAATGGTCAAAATTGATAAAGAAACCGTTAGTGGCTATTTTTGCAAAAAACATCCTTCCGACATCCTGTTGGGACATTCGGTTATATAGACAAAAACGGCATCCCCCATTTTATTTACGACAAAAATGACGACACTTTATATTTTTTCCAATATTTTCAAATGCGGGGCTGAACCCGATGAGGGTTACCTATGTATCCCACATTCAGTGAGAATCAAATCCACATAGTTCGGCCAGTTTTGACACAATGGAAAAATACAAACACTTTGAAATAACTTTTCCCTTTTTTTTCAAAAACTTTGGTCGAGTTTCGGGATATTTTGGATACCGGACTTTGGGAAATGGATGAAATTCTCTCTCATATCCCAAACTTGGTTTTCCTTTTTTATTTTTCCTACCTAATCCAGAAGCCAGTCACTATGTAAGCCAAAACAAATGGATGCACAAGTAGCACGTAAAAAAATGTATCAGGTTGGTCTTTTTTTTATTTTCGGGTATACCTGTCCTAGATAGACCCAACACCAATGTTGAGTCCCCAATGTCAAATGCACATGATGCAAACAAGCGTTTTTACTAGGGATCCGGCATGAGGCTGAGTTATTCTAGGCTTAAAACCTGGGTATATTATTCTAGACTTGGTGTACCCGAGCGGACAACTCGAGCCGAGGGGGGCTACGTACCGGGAACCAAAAGGCCATCCGGCTTTGTAACTTGTTTGAACCTCTTTCTAAATTAGGGTAAGACACTAATAGAAAAGAAGTCACGCCAGCGTGCACTTCCTCGAAGATGAGAAGAGAAGGGTTTCACAACAGTTTACATACAATTCAAATAATATCAAAGCGGTAAAAGCGGCATTTAGCACATTAGGCCCAAACATATAATACAAAACAGATAATAAATAAAAGCCAATTATAAAAGGTATTTTAAGCTCAAATTCTAAACCATGAACAAGAGATTCTAGGTTCTTGTCCCCAGCAGAGTCGCCAGAGCTGTCACACCTCCTTTTTCTACCCCGGAAAAGGGGTATAGGGGAGTTTTTCAAATTAAAGTGACAAAACCAAAACTGGATTATTTATTTAAGTTTAGAGTCGCCACATGGGATAATTTATGGTGTCCCAAGTCACCGATTTAAAATCCCGAATCGAGGAAGTTTGACTCTGTTTTACAGTCCACGAAACACAAAAATCTGGGTAAGAAATTCTATTAACCCGGGAGAAGGTGTTAGGCATTCCTGGGTTCCGTGGTTTTAGCACGGTTGCTCAACTATTATTATTAGCCTAATTATCTGATTAATTACATATTTTAATCCTATTGTGCATTTTTTTACCCTTTGACCGCTTTTAATTAATTATGAAATTATTCTAGAATAAGTTACGATTGTCGTACACTTGTTTGTTTGGTACACATTGCGAATCTTATCACGGGAACCGTACCCACGATCTACAACATGTTTAATTTATTAACATTGTTAGTTGTTATGGTCGGATCACATAAATGTACCCCCGAATTTGAAAATTAAGTATCACAACTATGTCATGGGAACCGTACCCGTAGCTATGATAATTTATTTAATTAATGCGCTTAAAGAAAAATACGAGAGTTCAAAGTATTTTCTACACTAGTATTTGTACTAATATGAGGGCCATATGCTATGTGATTGGATGGCACATCTCAACTTATTTAAAAAGGTTTGTACTCAACTAAAGTAAATTAAGGATGCCCATGTTTAATCTAAATTAAAGTTCAATTCTACAACTACTAGTTGTAGGTATTAGAAGTTAGCCTCTACTTCATCCATCATACCCTAATACGATGTGTGACATCTTCGTCGATCTCCCATCCCCCCTGCGTAACTGACCCAAGGTACTTGAAGCTGCATGTACTTGGGATGACATGTGATTCAAGCCTCACATCCATGCCCACTTCCCCCGGCTCAGCGCTGAACTTACACTGCAGGTATTCCGTCTTCATGCTTCTCAGCTTGAAATCCTTAGACTCAAGAGTCTGTTTCCAAACTCCCAGCCTCTCATTAACACCGGCTCGCGACTCATCAATCAGAACTATGTCATCGACGAATAGCATGCACTATGGCACCTCCCCTTGAATATGGTGTGTTAACGTGTCCATCACTAGGGCAAATAAGAACAGGCTGTGCACAGAACCTTAGTGTAACCCAATTACAACCGAAAAATGCTCAGAATCGCCTCCTATTGTCCTAACCCGAGCCTTAGCACCATCATACATATCCTTAATTACCATAATGTAGGAAACCGACACACCTTTTGCCTCCAAGTATCTCCAAAGAACTTCTCTAGGAACCTTATCATACGCTTTCTCTAGGTCAATAAACACCATGTGTAGGTCATTCTTCCTCTCTCTGTACAGTTCTACCAACCTCCTAACAAGGTGTATAACTTCGGTAGTATAACGACTCGAGATGAACCCGAACTGGTTGTCGGATACGGACATTGTCATCCTCACCCTTGCTTCAACCACCCTTTCCCATACTTTCATGGTATGACTCAGTAATTTGATACACCTATAATTGTTACAACTCTGGATATCACCCTTGTTCTTATACAATGGAACCACCGTACTCCACCTCCACTAATCCCGCATCCTCTTCGCCTTAAAAATATCATTAAACAAGCCAGTCAACCACTCCAAACCTGCTCTCCCCAGACACTTCCAAAATTCCATCGGAATCTCGTTTGGCCCGGTCGCTCTGCCCCTACTCATCTTACGCATAGCTCCCACAACCTCCTCAACCTTGATATACCTATATAACTTAAAATTTAAATGCTACAAAACTACCTCTCTCTTTTTTTTTGCCCACTTAAATAAGTGACTTTAAAACGTGACTTTTGTTTTAAATTTTTTTCATTGTACGCATACCATTCATGTTTTGGTTATTTGTATTATAAAAATATCTAAATTAATTATTTGTGGATACCAGAATTTTGATTCTTGTACATCGAATATTTTTCAACTAGCTATAGAGTCTCCATTATTCATATATATCATTTGTATTTAGATTTACATATTGGGTAATAGGTTGCAACATTTTGTCTCCAACTCTGATCTTCGTGATAAAGTTTTTTTTTCCCCCTAAAAAATGGATGTTCTAAATATTTCATTTTTTCATTAAATCACAAATATCTATTATGCTGTCGTGAACGTGGGACGATGAAAAATTCATATATCCCATGTTGTTAAATGTAAAATGCCTGCTGGAACGAATAATGCTAGAAAATCTCAATTTATATATCATAGGCTGATAGCTTAAACAGGAACAAAGGTACGTAGCTGAAACTTGAAAGACAGAAGTTACACATGATTTCCTTCTCTCTTAATTGGCAACAATTTAATTAAAACAGAAGATAGAAAACGCTTAAACATGAATTTACAATTAAGGATCCACATTTTTGGAATTTTTTAAAGATATTTGGATATATGGTGTTGCGTGTTGACTGTTGAGTATAGTCCAAGTTTCTTCTCACTGTAGAGATAGATTCTTCAGAAGCCTGTGAACAGAATAAACAATCAATTTTTTAATAAAAAAGTACGAACTGTTGAAGTATCTCTGTATGAATCCATTATATCCTCGTGGCTATGTGAGACAGTTTCAATATTTTGACTTAATGGGTTTATGGTTTTGAAGTTTTAAGAAATATGAATTTAAAACTTAATAGTTATACCAATTTTTCAAGTTTTTTCATACATATATCTACAATTTTGCTGAAAATGATAGTTTAAAAATTTTCACACGGTCATTTTATATAATTAGATCCCAAGATAATACTACGATTTTTATTGCTTATGTCAAGACTAGATCATAGAAGTTAGCTTTTGTTTCAAGCCAAAGGTGAATATAAAAGAAACCTTTTTGCATGTGGATGTCTAAATCGTCATCCTTCTAAGGATATGCAACTGACTCAAAGAATAAAAGCAGAGAAAGGTGAAGATATATCCACGTAAGAAAAAGATGTTAATTATATTATCATAAAATAATTAATAGTACTAGTACTTAAGAGCTTATAATATTAGAGATTATTGATTGGAGAGATTAAGATGACCATAAGCATGCGATCTTAATTTGCAGGATTCGATTTAACGTGGCCGTTAGTTGCTTAAAGCCTTAAATAGGCTAGTAAGGTCTTTTTAAAAATATTTGACAATTATACATTCTATTATGTGTGCAATGGACTGAAACTTAAATCTTCTTGGTAATTTTAACTTTACACTTATACATTCTGTTATGTGTACCGTGTACTCAATTATACATTCTATTGCAGGGGCGGATGTAGAGCAAAGGGTACGGATTTCCGTGAACCTATTAATTTTTTACATAAACTCTGTATTTATACTAAAAAATTCACTAAAAGTATAAGAATATTTACTTTGGACATCAGTACGTTGGTCCAGTCTTCATGTAGATTAACTTGAGATTGTTATAAGACCCCATAAGCTTAAAATTCTGAATCCGCCTCTGTTCTATTGTATATTTTACCTAAATTTAACTTCTCGCTTGTCAGTAAGCTTAGTGTGTTTTCAAGAGTAAGCTTAACTTACATGTGTTAAATTTTTTACACTATCAGTATCTTTAACCAGTTATAACAAGGTATTTACTGCATATTTAGGTTATGAAATTAGGATAATAATTATAGTGAATTTCCTATTGTTGTACGCAGTGTTTTAAAAGGCGTGGGCGTAAGGCGAGGCATTTTGCATATGCTTCAGCGGGGCGTAAGCCCCATGGGTATTTAATTTTTAATATTTTATAAAATAATATAATTATAAAAAATATTATTAAATAGGTAAAATTGCATAAAATTTTGAAAAAAAAAAACTATAAATAAGTGAAATATATAATTAATCCCATATTATCTAATGAAATTATATAGAAGTCCCAAATAAAGTGAAATTACATATAAATCCCAAATAATTATATATAAGTGAAATCCCATATTATCTAATGAAATTATAAATCACAAATAAATAAGTGAAATTATATATAAATCTAATCAATATATATAAAAGCACGCATACATATAATACCATATTATATTTTGAAAGAGAGCAAGAGAAGTATTTAACTTAAAAAACTAATTACATACATATTTACAAACTAATAGTGAAATATAAAAAGAGAGGAAAGTAATGAGTTCAAAATAATAAAATTTTTACATGGAGGAAAGAACAAACCTGTTGAATTTGACTTACGGAGAAGAATGAAGTTTTCTGTTGCCAAAAAAAGTGATAAATCGTTGCTCTTGGTAGAGGCAGACTAGCAGAAAGAATTGGGAAAGAGTTCTAATTTAGGACTTTTAGCAATACTAAAAAGTTTACTTTTAAATTTAATGTTTTTAATTCCTTTTTAAAAAGATATCTCTTGGGCTTACGCCTCAACCGAAAAACTCGCCTCAACCAAAAAACTCGCCCGGGCGTACGCCTCGAACTTCTGGGCGTACGCCTTATGGGATTTTCGCCCCCCACCATCGCCCCGGGGCGTTTTTGGTACGCCTCGCCCCAGGGCTCGCCCCAGAAACGCCTTTTAAAACACTGGTTGTACGTAGGTCGTAGGGTATATCTTATAAGTCTGATGGTGTATAAAAATTGTGCAGTGTTAGTGTGCATAAGTTAAACTTCTAACATGTATAATGTAAAAAAAAATTTACATTATAAAATCAATTAGAAGATAATTATAGGCAATCCTCCGATCCTTAATAAAAGGAATTACTCTATATAAAAATTACGGTAGAAAATCTGTCACAACATATTAAATAAAGTGTAATGTAGAAAATTTTACACTATTCAGTGTATATAAGTTAGTTATATCCTTTATAAAACAGTTTAGATTATTGTTTCCTTAATGCTCGACCTTAGAGAATATAAAATGCAAAAATGTATTATCCATAATATGGAAATACCATTTACCTCTGTTCATTAGCATATCTTCCTCTAGCATTGGTTTCTGCTGTAGTAGTAGTCCTGTAATTAGGCAAAGGGACTTGACCATTTTCAATTTGGGTTATATCCTTAACAAGGAGATCATAATGCCTTCTAACTTCCTCTACTGATTTCCCACCAACATATTTGGCTATGTTTTGCAATCTTTCGGAACTAGTGCCCTTGTCGTACATGACCAAAGCCTCCTCGAACCTCTTGTTTTGCTTTGTTGTCCAATTAGAGGCCATTTTTGTAAACTTCGACTCGAAGATTATATTTCAGTGTGCTATTGAATTGAAGAAGAAGAAGAAGAAGGGAAAATCACCTAATTCGAGGGTGTGGTTTGAGTAAAAGAGAGCATTTTTAGCTCCTTATATGCTGGAGGAGAAGGTATTAATTAGTTGGAGCAAGCTGGCGAATATCTTTTTGATTTTTTTCCTTTCGTTCTATTTTCTTTCTTCTGCGAGTAGATGTGATGCTTAATTAAGAGCCTAATATGAAGCAAAAGTAATGGGGTGGGCTAGGGCCGAAGGCCGAGGGAGGAGGTGGGGAGAGAATAAGTGAATAATAGTCAATTTATCCAAATATTTATTTAACTTACATACACTTGACAGTGTAATTTTTTTTTTACTTCATTGTGTAATTTAAGTATAATTTTAACTGGCTGCCTATATTATTTTCTAGTTAACTAGTTTTCTATATATGTTAAGGTAGTACTTACCTTTATTTGTTTTTAAGATAACCTAATTGTGTTAAAAATATTTTGAAATATAATTGTATAGAAGTCAAGATATATTTAATATATATATAATCTTAATGAAGTTAAAATGATAAGTTTAAAATTAAATTACTATAAATAAAAAATATATCATTAATTCTTTATGGAAAAGACTAAAATATAATATCAAATAAAACCGAGTGAGCTAGTAGCTAAGATAAATGCACCGACACAGGATAATAGTCCCTAGCTAGTAGCTAGAAAAATCTATTAGGGTATCTCCCATCTCTTCACAGCGAAATTAATTAAATTCTTGCTTTTAGGTGATTTCCATGTATACTTAGTGAAATTAATCACAAGTGTGCTAATTTTTCAAAGAACACCTTCTTGAGTCTTGTCCATGGTTCAATTAGGCTCAAAAAAAGATCTCCAAATACTTAAGCACTTGCAAAAGGAATCAGGCTAAAGAACTATTTTATGCTCATGTTAAGAAATGTAACTCAAAGTAACAATATAAAACAAGATGATAAGTAATAGAATAAAAGAAGAAGAGATAACTTTCTTATTTCATCAAGTGTTCAACTGTGTACAATATTACTTCTCATCCTCCATTTATAGTATTACATAGAGGTATACAAGAGAATGTCATAAACATGACATTAAATATTTGAGATCATGGAGGAAAATCATGGGGAGGTTATGGAGGTATGAGAGTTACAACCATATATAACTCCATAAATATTGGAGTAGTGGGAGTTATGGAGATAATGGAGATCAGAGTAGTGGGAATTACTCATTTATGAGTTATGAACATTCACCATTAGATAATTTTTTATAACAGCCCATGTATAGTTACCATTGTTCTATATGGTTGGTTAAGATTTAGATCTCATTTGGATGAGCTTGTTTTAAGAGATTTTTAAGCCAAAAGTTATAATTTGTAGCTTTTAGCTTATTTTTGTCATTTTAGCTTAAAAACAAGTACTTAAAAATATTTTTTGCTTTATCCAAACACTACAAATAACTTAAAAGCAATTTTAACTTAAAAACACTTAAAATAAGCCAATCAAAACGGCTCTTAAGCTTAAAGCATCTTAAAGATAACTTATTCCCGTTGTTTGGAATCTATAAAATACGTCCTTTTCGCTGAGTTTCTTCATGCTCTGACTCTAATTTGCTATGGTGCAAGATTAATATTCTTAATTGCTCGAATCAGGTTGAACTTCAAAAACGTTTTTGGTCAAAGATGGTTCCAGGTTGAACTTTATGGGATTGAGTTTGGGATTCTATCACCAATCATTTGATTTATTTAGTTCAAAATCATAATTTTTTTTTTTATACTTTATGAACTTCACAACGTGGAAACAACTAAAGAAATGTAAGGAAACATTGCGTGCAATAGATAAATTGTGATCCAAATCTTTCCCGAATCTATATACATAACGAAATCTTAATGCATCCGGCTGTTATATTTATGTATTGTGTAACTTAGCAACGAAGATAGAAGTTTTTTCTAAAAGATGCAACTTTTAAAGGAAAGTTAGAAGTTACTTTAAGACATCACATAGCCTAAAAATATTCAAAAGCCAAAAATCTGGTCTCTACCTATTTACTGATTTTGACTGTTGAAACCTACGCTTTTAATTAATTTGTTAAGTTATACTCCCTTTGTTTCAAGTTATGTGGATTACCTTCCTTTTGTATCTGTTTAGAAAAGGTTATCATTTCCTATATTTAGTAACCTTTAATTTCGAACATCACATATATGACATGTTTTAGAACAAAATTCAAAAACCATTTTTGTAACATTATACACTTCTTTACCTTAATACCAAAAGATTCAAAAGTCTCCTTAATTTATTTTCTTAATTTCGTGCATAGTCAAACTAATACATAAAATGAAACGGCCTAAGTAACTAAATGCAATTGAGTAAAGATTAATTTTTAGTGCATTCTTTATATTTGATCTGTAGATATTGAATATTCCGTTCCTAGAGTATTTGTCACCCTTTTCCTTTATCGAGATAAGATGCTTGCATTATCGCGTATACCCATGCATGCATGGTCTGAAATCATGTTTTAAGATGTGATATCTGTTTCATATATTCTGGATGGAGATGTTTTATGTGTGTACAATATATATTTTGTGATCTTCACTTTCACTAAAGTTAAATTAATTTCTTTTTCTATTGTATGAAAACTGTGAGAGTACATATATCCATGAGTATTTACAAGTGCAAAACCTAGAAACTAAGTACGGATAGAATAACGATTAACAACAATTAAATTAAAAAGTGCTTCAACTAATGGACGAAACTAATTAGCACTATAAATAATCAACCCTAATCCTTTGTTATAAACTCTTCCATAGAGGGCCTGATCAGGTCCTGCTAATCAACACTTTGAGAAGTTTGAAAGCAGCAGGACCGTAAAGCTTAGCCTTGAGTTGGACTGCAATCCAGTAATGCTGGTATTCTCAAACCGCCTAAAAAACTTTTTAGGTTTACTGTCCAAGGACGGAAGTTCACTTTTTAGTTACCAGAAATTGACTAGTGCCTTGTTGACTTATTAGTGATCTTTCTTAATATTTTACTAGTTATATACGGCGTTTGACCAGAATGTTAAAGCTGGAATAGTAAACTCTATTATGTAATTGTAGTTCTCTAGTTGTACGTGCTCTGGAAATTAATCTCTTAACTGATCTGCCAAAAAAGAGAGAATTATTTTGCCTTTTAGACGACAACTTGCTCAGGTTTGACTTTTGAGGTACTGCCTTTCATATTCTGATATTAAGGGAACATTTTAGTTGAAATATATATATATATATGTTGATATACAGCATAAAGCTTTGTGATAAATAGAATCTGTGCTATCTGAAATTCCCTCTACGTCACATCACAATATTTAATAGAATTATGTAGATTAATTAGCTTCCCATTTGTAACTGTGTTTGTTTTGCTCACAGATTCCTTTTCCTTTGATTGGTTAATTTCCATCATGCCTTAAATTTTCATATGCAGTCAACCAAGGGTAGAACGTATTCACATGTACTCCATATGGATCGTTTATAATAATAAAAAAGTAGTTGATCATATTCATTGTTTACTTTTTCTATATATATATAATACATAAATTATGTATATATTATACTTCCACCGCCTATTTTTAGTTTAAGCGATTGAGTGGACAGCTATTTGCGTTAATTGTTCAAAATAATTAAGGGTAATTACCCATAATCATTATAATTAGTTATAGCTCGAACTAAACGCAAGTAACTCAAAAGTATAGCTTAATTGACAAAAGATAATGTATATGGCTTATTTTAAATCACAATTTTCATAAGTCTTTCTTTTTCTCTTAAACTCCGGTCCACTCAAACAAAGCTACATAAAATAAAACATTTTACTAACTAATTAAGCTATAACTAGGGAATTTGTGAATATAAGGGAGATGCATTTTTGAAGATTCTATCTAGTGGTTGAAACAACAGTGATAAAGGAATTGAAGGATCTTTTATTGGTCATGAAATGTTCCAAAAGATAAGGAGATAGATTCTTTTTTTTTTTTGTCGAAAAGATATAGTTATATTATATATAATTAAACACGTACAAAAGAGTTGTTAAGATGCATCAGCTACATCAGATGTACAAAAGTATAGTTTGATACTAAGGCCCCCGTGTGGGAATCATTACTAGCAACAAAAGCAGGATTAGTGACTACAACACTACTACTACTAGATACAGTACTAGATAATGCACTACTATTACACAAAACAGACTTAGGTTTTATCAGTCTTCGTCTGAGCATGCCATTGTGATCTTGTTGGTAATAAGGTGTGACAAAAGGTGGACTTCCAAAAAGTAGACAACTCTCCAGTGCATGCATGGCTCCTTACTTAGCTAGACTATCTGCAACATAATTTTGCTCTCTGTAGATGCTTTGAATAGGAGGACTATCCAGCTGTAGGAGTAATAACCTGCAATTATTAATTAAATTAGTGTATTGCATTGTAGGTGAGTTCAACATACCGATTAGTGCATGAGCATCTGTCTCAATGATGAGTGGTGTGAGATGCTTTTGGACAGCAATTTTCAGCCCCATAAGCAGTGCTAACAATTATGTTTAAACACTTGGTCCATGGTTTGATGTTCCTGCAAATCCTATAATCCAGTTGCCTTGATGATTTCGAAAATACCACCAATCCCAAATTTGTTTTGAGTGGTTGAGCAAGATCCATCAAAGGTAAGCTTAAAAGTATGGAGGTTTGGTGGATGCCATTTTATATAACAAGTTATGAGGGAATGATTTGTTGATATGGGATTTGTAAGATAATAAAATTCCGCAGCCTGTTGCAATATTAGAGGTATATGGACCTTAATTTTATGATGTTCAATAGAGTTCTTGTTTCGTATAATCCAAAGATGACATAATGCAAATGGTATGAGAGTGGTATATGGGATTTTATGGGTGGTGGAGAATGACTGGTTATATATAAAGTTGTATAACCAAGTTATACTATCAGTATGAGAGATATGAGAATTGAGATGTGTAGATGAGACTTTAAGAACAGTCCAAAGTGTAATGGCATTATGACATTCTAGAAAAAGGTGTTTTAATGTTTCAGGTGCCATATGACATTGTGGACATAAGGATGAATTAAGTATCCCTAGTCTAGTAAGATAAACAACTGTGGGGAGCCTGTCATGAC